AGCGGAGCACCTCGGATCGGGGCGTTTTAATGACATTCCATTAAAGCTCCCTTTGGGCCGCAGTGGCCGCCATGTGCTCCCCATTCTCATGGTAATCGGGAGACATCTGTATAGAGGCTCCTTTCTCATCCGCAGGGATCTCTTCAAAGACGCTCCTGGGAAACCCTTCACCTCTGACCCGGGGGGTCAGCCCTGAAACAGTGGCTCTATAGAGCGCGCTACTGTAAAGCCCAGTATCCTTTTTCCTCCCCGAACCTGGCCAGGTCCCGGCTTTTCATGGAATTGGGAGAGGAGTGGGGGGGTGGCAGCGGCTCGGAGCAAGGGGGGTATCCGTGTCCCCCCTCCTCTCCCCGTGCCATTCCTGCACCCGGCCTTTTTGGTACTCGCGGAAACGAGCCAGAGGGTTGAATGAGCCGGAGCTGGGCGAAAAGCGGGCAAAATGCCCTGAAACAGTTGGGAAAAGCTGCTTTCCTACAGCATCCATGGATGGATCCAGCCCAGGATGTCCGCAAGGCAGCCAGGTCCCCCATTCCAATGCCACTGGAGTATCCCGGAGCAGGACAGCCCCCATCCACCCGCTCCCGCTGTCCCTTTCCAAGAAGCGGCCAATGATTCTCGAGGCTGTCGCTCGCCGGCAGCAATAAACCTCAATCACGGCGGCGAAGCTTGATTTCTGCGGCAATTTGGCGTTAATTAAYGAGCACTTACGGGAAAGCGCAGCCCCCCCACCCCATTGAGCGCCTTGCACCCGCCCGCAGCGTCCCCAGCCCTCSGGGTGGCCTCACGAGGCGCCTCGGCTGATAACGAGAGCGGCCGGAGGAGGATTCCAAGGGAACGGGGTATCCCGCTCCGTGAGCTGTCCGGCTTCTCCTGCACGGAGAAACCGGAGCCTGGAGCCGGGCAGGGAGGTGTCAAAGGGCTCCACAAGCCCCGGCCGAAGGGATTTGCTGGCGGGGGCGTTTTGGGGGCCGCGGGTGCTCAACCATGGTGTTGACTCAACAGGGAATTAAGCTCATTATAACCTTGCCGGGGGAGAGGGCACCAAATCCTCAGGGGCACCGGGGCATCCCGAGGGCTCCAGAGGGGGATTGGCGCCAGGGGTGACCAGTGGAGAGAGGATGAATGAGGGGTCCCCCAGGGCGGTTTCTCTCCTTGCATCCTCCCCCACCTGCAGCTGCCCTCGGGAGCTGGGTGGATTCTCTAGTGGCTAATAAAGGGGTTGGGCTGTGGCTGGGCCCAATTATTCCTTTTGTGCCACAGTCTCCTGCTCCAAACGCTCCCCAGAGTGCGGGCTCCTCACTGGCAGGTTGGCATCGGGGACAGAAGTAGGCAGGGAAACGGGGAAAGGGATGAGGAAGAGAATGGGTGTGACAATTGCAATGGGGGAGAAGGCAAGGATGAAGATGGGAATGAGGATGAGCATGAGGATAGGGACGGGAACAGCACTGAAAATGGGGTAGAGGATAAAGAGGATAAAGAAGTGGATGGCGATGGTGATAAAGAGAAGGATGGGGAGGAGGATGTAGAAAGAATGATCATGGAGATGGAAATAGGGATGGGGATGAAGAGAAAGATAAGGATGGCAATGGGAAAAAGATGAGGATGAAGACAAGGATGAGACTGGTAATGGATATTAGGATAGGAATGGGAATGAAAATTGAAGAAGGAGRTGAGGAAGAAGATGGGAATGGGGATGAAGGAGTCAGTTAAGGATGGATAAAGGGCCGTGCAGACGTTTTGGGGACGGGGCCAGGCCCAGTCTGCAGCATGTGTGGGCACCCTGGCGAGGGGCTCCACGAGCTCCCGAGCCCCTGTGCCGGCCAATAAATCCTCCCGCCGTATATAAGCCACCCGGACGCCGTTGCCGGATTTTGTCTGGTGCCTTAATGTCACGCCTGTAAATTAGCTCCGGCACCGCGGCGACCTTGACGAGTTCTCCAAGAGGAGCGAGGGGGCCGCGGCGCCGGCGCCGGCTTTGCCTCGGGCCCGTGAGCAGCATCCCGGCRGCCGAGGGGTTAAGGAGCCGCAGAGCCCTCCGCACAACTCTAGCTACTGACCGCAAACTTACCTCCAAGSCATCGATCGGCTCCGCACCGCGCCACACCGCACGCACCCACGCGCCCGGGCCCGTGCCCACACGGGCATGCACGTGCACGCCATCCACCACCCGCCCTTTTTGCTTTTCCATCTGCTTTTTTAGGGCTTTTCATGGCATTTCTCCAGCTCCTGCAGGAACCCGAGGGCCCGGGGCGACCCCTTGCACGCTCGCTGGGCACGTCCGCCGGCGCCAGCCCGCGGGAGGAGCTCGCGGCGGCCGCGCGCCGCGCCAGGGAATTTTGCCATCTCTCTCTCTCTTTAACTGACATAAATTCCGATTTAACAGATTTTCCTGACAGGCAATTTTCACTTGTTTAATTCCAGTGACAATCAGTAAATTCGGTGGCAGATGGAGCCACCCGGCGCGGCGGCCAAGCGGGAAGCGGGGCAGCGGTGCCCAGCCCCGACCAGCCGCCGGGCGCCGCGCTCTGCTCCCCGCCAAGCAGCTATTTAATCGATCGATGGCAAAATTTATCTGCCGCTGCCAGCGCCCGCCGTTGGATCCTCTCTGGGCCACTAAAATTAGCAGCCGTCAGCGCTGCAAGCACCAGGATGCAGCGGAGTTGGGATAGTGTTGGATGCAGGAGACGTGGGGAGAAACATCCTGGCGGGAGCTAAAGGTTGGCAGCGTCCAGGGCTAGACCCAGGTCCCCTTGGACTCCCTTCGCACGGCGCTGGCTCCCGAAAAACCCGCAGCCGCTGTTGGGACATGGGGATGCGCGGATGCGGGGACGGGCTGGTYGCTTTTAGATGCAAATAGAGGCAAYGCCGGGGAAAAGCAGCTGAAACAGCCCCCGGTGCGGAGCCGGGAGCAGCAATTTTATACTTTCTCCAGACATATTATCCACTATCAAGGAAAGAAAAAACCCTAAAGGCTGCATTTTGATGCGCGAAAACGGATGCAGTCCCCACCCCCCCAATCCCCTGGTGCTGCCCCAGCAGGCACTCGGGTGTTTAAAAGTGTCTCTTTTCTGTTTTTTTGGTTATTATTTTTACTTCCCGCCCCATCCCTGGCATGGCCCCCGTTCCGCTTCCAAGGCCTCCCTTTCCCTGATTGACTTTGATTGACAGCTCGGCCCATCATTTCCACAGAGGCAACTMCTCAAGCTGCAGCTTTCTCACAATATAATTTTGTTTTCTGCCTTTTTCTCTTTTGCTTTTTTTTTCCTATAGGACTTGGAGCAGGAGAGGAGGCTCAAAGCAGAGGCAGCTCCCACCTAAACCCCCCAAAATGCTTCCCAGGCACTGCACGCCGGATCCCACCACTCTCTTCCAGGGTAATAACTTTCCTGTGGCCTTTTCCAACTCGTCCTTGAATTAATTCCCAGCACCTCGTCTCCTGTTGCTCCGCGCCACCCGCATAATTCAGCCCACTCGGTGTTTGTTTAAAATATTCCCTGCTGGACATTATTTATAGAAGGGTCAAATGAAGCTGGGCCCATGTCCTTTGGTTTGAAAAGGCCACTTTTGACTTTTCTCTAATGGGCTTTTAAAACCCTATAATAAAACACGCTCGACTCCAGCGTGGCCATCGCGTCCCCCTGCCGCTGCTCCCGRCTTCGCTCCCGCTGCTGGGTTTTGGGGGCTCTCCTGGCTCCATCCCGGGCGCGCTGCTCCCCGTTGGGGTCCCGTAGCCGGTGGCTGGGGGCCCAGGGCTGAGCCCGGGGGTCACGTTTGTCCCCTCTGCCCCCGCGCTCGCTGGGCTGCTTGGGCACCAAGGAATGGGCTGCGCTTGGAGGAGCCCTGTAGTGGGAGCACATGGGGAATGTATTGGGATATGACTGGGATACGTACTGGGAACGACTGGAGCTGCACTGGGTTCAGCTGGGAGAACATACAGAGAGGAGCCCGGAGCCATACCGGGATCACTAGCAATGAGACTAGGGCCATACTGGGATCAGACCAGGACCATACTGGGATCAGACCAGGACCATACTAGGATCAGACCAGGACTATACTGCGATCCAAGGAGGACCCTACAAGGCTGAGCCTGGCACCAGGCAGGGCTCAGAGTGGGGAACCAGGCAGGGCCCAGGCGCTCGAGCCGGGCGCTCTCGGGGCCATCCTGGGGTGACACGGAGCCCATCCCRGGAGCAGCCGGGTCTGCTCCGGCCCCGGCGCGCGGCCCTGGGCGCCTGGTGGGCGCAAGCGCCCTGGCGAGCGTTCAGCAGCCGTCAGTGCTAATTGCGATGCCGATTGCAGCACACAGGAGGAAAAAAAAAAAAAAAAAGGTGTTGGATTTTTTTTTTTTAGAGCAGAAAAAGCCAGGAAAAAAAAGAAAAAAAGGAAAAAAAATAGCACACGATTCACAGGGGAGCACATCGCCTCCCAGGCAATAAGTACTTAAAATTAAAAGGAGAGGAAATAATAATAATAATAATAATAATAATAATAATAATAATAACAACAACAACAACAACAACCACAACCACAACCACAACCACTACAACAACAACACAGACTTTCATTGTCCAAGGGAAATGGAGAGGTTAGGATATAATATAGGTTTTATTTTATTTTTATAAATAGTCCGCGCCTCTCGCTTTGTGCAGGGCCCCTGAGAGCCCCTGTGCCACCCAGAGCAGGGCCCGGGTGCTGGCTCGGCTTCGCCGGAGCCGCTCCCGGAGTCTTTCGCTCCGCATTGGAGCTATTTTTTTCCGCAGATCCGAGACCTTCGTTTCTTTTTACTCCCCTCAAGCAGGGGACGGGATATAGCGGGGAGGAAAAAAAAAAATCACCATTGCTGTCAAGGCCACTGCGGTCACGAGTTCTGTGTTCTCAAGGGCTGGCCGCGGCGGGGAGGATTTTGGGGGGAGACGGCGGGGTAAAGGGGGGTAGCGGGTCCTTTTTAAGGCCGTCGCCGGGCTGGCTCCGTCCCCACGCCGTCCTCGCGCCCGCGCCGCTCACTGCATGGCGATGTAGGGCCAGTTGAAGGTGGAGCCCGAGAGCAGCATGTCCCGGATGAGGGTCTCGATGGGCGTCTTGCCCACGAGGCGCACGAAGAAGAGCTGCTCGATGACGGGCGCCGCGACGAGGCGCAGCGAGGGCAGGCGCAGCAGCAGGCGCCCGAAGCGGCTCGGCTGGCTCGGGTGCTGGCTCCGCACGTACTCCTCCAGCGCGCACTGCGACTTCTCCTGCACGCTCTCCACGGGGCCCAGCTCCGACAGCCCCACCGCATCTGGCACCGGGGAGGAAGAGCAGAAAGCGGCATCAGCGGGGCCGTCCCCAAACCCGCCACGTGCCCCACAAACTGGGTCCCAATGGGGCTTTTGCTTTGGTCTTTAAACTCCTTTTGCCCCCCAACCATTAAATCATCTGTCAGAAAGTCATGGCAAGTGTCTCCGTCAAAAGCAGAGACTCGGCAAATTCTTGCCAAAGCCATGTTTCTATACACTATAGGGAAGATAGTCACATATATATAAAAAATATATAAATATATATTTATATAATACATATATATATATACAGACGTGTATATATATGTATTATAAATATATATTATATATATATACAGATGAACCATTATATATATAATTATATAATGGTTCAATATATGGAATATATCACTAATGGCTTCAGCCTTTATCACTGGGGGAAAACTGGCTCTCCAAGAGGGGGAAAGTCRTTGCAAGTGACACTGGGGCATGGCCTGGACGCTGCCCTGCACGGGGCTGAGCTAACCCAGTGCCGGCTGCTTCCTGCCCTGCTCCTGCTGGGAGAGGTTTGCTGCAGCACGGCCTGCATCCCTCTTTTCCGAGGCTGGGTTAGACACAGTGGTTTTAAACGCCAGGCAACGTCCCTCCTGCCGTGTCCCGGCTCCGGCTCCCACTCGTTTTACTGCAGCACTTGGGAGACTGCAGCTCCATGGCAGTATCAGCACCACCACAGGGCAGGAAGCAACAGGGCCTTTCAGAAAAGGTTTTTGGTTTGTTTTTTTTTTTTTTTCCAGCTACTATGGATCCTTTATCATCATCCACCTTGCAGGGCTCATGCACAGCCTTCCGCCTGGGAGCATGGGCTGGACTGGGAATTTGGGCATTTCCAAGAGGTAGAAATAAGCATCTTCCAATGCTTTTCTCTTCCAAATCTCCATGTTTCAGGGGAAAAAAAAAAAAAGAAGAAGAAAAACAACCAAAACCAGATCAGTCACTGAGGGTGTAGTCCCTTCCCCCAAATCCAGCTGGGAACCCTTTGGGATACAGGATCTGGGGTGCAGTTGTTTTCGGTTGCTTCAAATGCTGGAAAATGCTGCAAATCCCAGCAGACTTTCTTGTTGTAGCCCCCAGCTGGGCTCAAACTCAGCAAGATGAGAGGTTGGTGGCTGCCTCCTGGCTGCGGGGCACCGAAAAGGATCCCTTGGGCTACCGGTCTGAGTGGAAAATCAGCAGGGTTTGGCTTTGTTTAGGCCTCGTTCCTCCCAYACTGCTGTCTTTTAGGTTTGGGCTTTTTTTAAGAATCAGAAAGGATGGGAAAGTCTCATCTTATTTCACTTCGAGACTGCTCGAATGCCGTCATCTGGCAGTGAAAAATCAAGTCCTCCATTTGAATCCGAATAGCCAGGTCCATTTGGGGTGAAACTGCTCTGGGTGACGGTGGGGGTTTTTCCCTGGCAGCAGCTCCCAGCCGCCACCATTGATCCCTCCACCACGGGACACAGAGCAGGGATTTGGGACACGGGGTGGAGCTCCTAGCCCCTCAACCCAAGCCACCCCATTGGGCAGGACCCTTTAGCCACACCTTGTTTAGCCCCGCCCCTTCCAGTCCCACCTCACTCAGTCCCACCCATTCACTCCCGCCCCATTCAGCTGGGGGTGCCTCGCCCTCTTAAGCCCCACCCTTCTTAGCCCCACCCACTCAGCCCCACCCAACTTGGCCCCAATCCCATTCAACCCCAGCCCATTGGGCACTACCCAGCCAACCCCGCCCATTCATCCCTGCCTTGCTCAGCCCCGCCCATTCACCCCAGCCCCATTCATTCATTCCAATTCGCACCCAGCCCCTCCATTCATTCCCATTGACACCAAGCCCCACCCATTCACCCCAGCCCCGCCCATTCACACCCAGCCCCACCCAGGTCATTCACATCCAGCCCTGCCCATTCATCCCAGCCTCACTTCTCCCTCTCACACCAACCACACCCATTCATCCCCATTCACTCCAGCCCCGCCCATTCAACCCAGCCCTGCCCATTCAACCCAGCCCTGCCCATTCATTCCCATTCACACCTAGTCCTGCCCATTCATTCCGGTTCACCCCGGCCCTGCCCATTCACCCCAGCCCTGCCCATTCATGCCCATTCACCCCAGCCCTGCCCATTCATGCCCATTCACCCCAGCCCTGCCCGTTCATCCCGGTTCACCCCAGCCCTGCCCATTCACCCAGTCCTGCCCATTCATCCCCATTCACACCTAGCCCTGCCCATTCATTCCCCTTCACACCCAGCCCTGCCCGTTCATCCCCATTCACCCCAGCCCTGCCCATTCATCCCCACTGAGCCCCATTCACCCCCAACTCTGACCTGTCCCAGCCCATCCAGCCTCCCCTTTCCCAGCCCTCCCACCAGGCCCGTGGCCTCCCTCCCCATCCCCGCTAGCCATGTCCCCCGGGCGCTCACCCGGCGTGAAGAGCGCCACGGCCTTRAGGCAGGCGTACTCGGCGGCATCCACGTGCAGCGCCTTGAGCTTCTCCACCTGCTCCTGGAAGACGCGGATGTGGTCCATGAAGGCGACGACGCGGTCGGCCGACATGGGGGCGGCGTGGAGGCCGGCGGCCGCCAGCAGCGGCGCCACGTGCAGCGGCATGGCGCACTGCGCCGCGTTGAGCACGAACAGCTCGCTCCACGCCATGCGCAGCAGGGCCACCTGGTCGGAGAGCTGGAAGTCCGGGAAGAAGGGGATGCCCTTGGCCCACTCGATGGCACTGAAGAGGAGGCGGGCGGCCAGCTCGCAGATGTTCTCGATGCCCATGACGTTGCTGGGCTGCAGGCACTGGGCCCCGTAGCGGGCCGTGGGGTAGGGCTCGGCGCGCAGCAGCAGCGAGATGAAGCCGCTCAGGTAGCTGTGGCCAGCGTAGGGGTCCCCGTTGGCCAGCGGGTAGTGCCCGGGGCTGCTCTGCGGATGCGCCATGCGGCCCCGCTGCACGGCTGCGGGAGCGGAGCACGGAGGTCAGCACGGAGCCCCAGCACCCCACGAACCCCCCGGCCTCCCTGGACACAGCCCCTCTGCATCCCCCTCCGAACGCCCCCGCCTCGTGCGTACAGAGCCTCGGACATCCCATCCCGCTTTGGAAAGAAGCACAAGGGACATGTCCTTCTGGTGGGACAAACACCCTCCGGCAGCCCCTCTGCCTCCTGGCAACACGCAGGTCTTGGCCACCCCAGGCAACAGCAGCTCACAAACAGCTTTTTATTAGAGAAGCACATGAGAAATTTTGGGGGCCTCACACAGGCGTTAAGGGTCGCTGCTTACTTGTGTCCAGCGCTAATGAGCTGAGGCTGACGAGGGGCCACCTCGCACCTGCCCAGGCTCTGGCACCGGCCACCCCCTTCATGGTCACCCGTTAGCTCCCCCACTCCACCCCTGCCTTCACCCCCATTTTGCCCTTGAGTTTCCTTCCATTTGGAGGCTTTGGGATGAAAAACCTCTGTGGATCCAGGTTGCGCTGAAAATATTTGGAATGAGGCAAGAAAAAGCAGACAGAGGAAGGAATGAAGAAGGGAGGGCTGGAAGAAGGGTGGACAGGGGTAGATCCAAGGCAGCTTGAGGGCCAGGTCCCAACCACACACATGGTCCCCGAGCCGTCTGCAGGGGCTGCGGTGCCCAGCCCCACGCTGGCCCGCGGCATCGGAGCCCCCCGCCGCGTGGGCAGCCCTTGAGCGAGGCTTAGCTTAATGCGGCTTGACAATCCCAAGTGTCATCCAGCGGTCGGGATCGCCGCCCGAGCTGCCTCCCAGCTCCCCCGCTCCCGGAGCAGCCGGAGCCRCAGCAGCCGGGCGGCGCAGCGTCCCACGGGACACCTGCATCCTGCCCAAGCTGGGCACCCGGCTGTGGGACGCGGCGGTCCCGGGCGCATCCCGCCCCGCCTGCTGAGTTTAGTTCCCAGAGGATGAAGTGACCCTTTTTGGCCCAAACACACACGCAAAAATAAAGAGCATCCATGAAGGGCTTCCCCCTGCCCGATTTCACTGACACCAGCTCATTCCTTGCATGGAGGAGAGAGGTTCCAGTGGAGTTCTCTACGCAGAGCATCTTTAATAAATAAATGCAGTTAAAACCAGCAGTTGCAGCGCAGGAGTCCTTCGGTGCCCAGAAGGTACTTTCCCCTGCGGGTGCTTCTGTGCACACACGTCCACAGCTGGAGGAAAGATGCCTCCTGCCTTCCAGCATCTGGAAATATCATTAGAAAATCATAGCGGGGAGGAGGCCTGGGAGGAAGGGGGCTTGGGGCAGCCCCACACCAGCTCCCGGTGCTGGACCCAGCCTTAAAGCAGCACCACAGCCCTGGGAACAGGTCCTGTGCGAGCAGCAAATAAAACCCAGCCAGGGCCGGGCAGTCGCTTGCGGCGATTTCTTTTTCTGAATTAAACAAAGAGGGGAAAAAAAAAAGRGGGAAAAAAAAAGAGAGAGAGAAAAAAAAAGCAGAAAAAAAAGGAAATTAAAAAAAAAAAAAAAGCGAAATTGTGACCCCAAACAACCCCTGCTAAGCGCAGCGGCAGCTCCTCGAGCGGAGCAGCCCGAAGCCGCCGCAGTCCCGCGGGAATGGGGCAGGTCAGCTCAGGAAGGGGCCAAAAGGCCCCATTTTTTTCACGGTTCATGAAACCCAGAGGCTGCACCTTTCCTTCTGCCACCAAAACACCACAGCATTTTCAACACAGCAAAATGAGCATTTTTATATACTATTTTTAACATGCTCCCAAAAGCTCTTTTGTTATTAGAAGAAATCAAAGCAGAGGAGTTGCTGCATGGACAAGGCTGCAGGTCAGGCTTTGGAAGCGGAGCTAAGCTCCACATTTTGTGCAGCCACAAACATCAGCTGCAAGCAGAGAGACCAGGAATCCCGGGAAATTTGTCCCGTTTCCCAAAAAAAGACTAAAGCTCCATGTAGTGCGGCAGGACAGGGCAGACTTGCTGGGAGCAGGCCGTGCTGCCCGGAGGATGTGTCCCAAAGGCCGCCCCTTGCACACCCAAATCCACGATGCTTTTTTGGGGAAGGAGAAAAAAAAACCTAAAGTTGAGGGTAGCCCCACACTATCCCCAACAACCTCCTCAAAAATGAGTTGTGTTTTTAATACAAATATCTAATTCGGTGGTACTCGGGGGCATCCCAGGGACTGGCTCCAAATGGTACCTGAAGGCAGCAGGACATTTTTCCTCTTCGATCGAGGGTTTGGGGGGTATTTAAGCCATTTCCAGCTGTCAGAGCAAGCAGCAGGGATCCGGGAGCAGTTCCCGATACAGCACATTGGGATTTCAGCGTTGCATGGGCTTCCCAGCCGAAACAACACTGGGACCCTCTGCCAAAACCCCCAAACTCCCCCAGGGCAGAGAAAATCCTGCAGAGCTGACACCAACACGTTCCCTCCTTCCCTTCCAGACAACACAGAGAAACATTTACCTGGAATAAAATCCATTGGGAAAAGAAAAAAAAAAAATCAGGAGAAGCACGGGGATGGGAGCTGCTGGGAGCCGCTCTCAGCTTTAGCAGCATTACATCCATTCAAGCACCAAGGAATTGCCTGAAATCCCAACATTGAGCCCGTGCCAGGGCATCCTGCAGCAGGAATCCGTGCAGGACCACCAAGGTGATTTACTCCATRCAAAGGAATTATCTGTTTGCACCACGACACACCGTGATGGTTTCTGCCTTCTCTTAATCTTAGCGGGTTTTTTTGTTTTGTTTTGTTTTTG